GTCATGTAAATGCGTGGACCATTCTGGTACATACGCATCACACCCAAGCTTTTGAGTAAGACATGGACGCGGAATGGCGTCCCCCATGTCCCGTCTGGATTCTCAGGCCCTCCCGATACACACAGATTTACCTGCTTAGCACTTCAGAACAAACAGAAAAACGTGTGAAAAGCTTAACTGAGCAGTGGGATTATGGAGAGAAGACAAAACATGTTAGTAACACACTGCAATGGGAAGCCTTTGTCGCACCGTATCGGTTGTCACTTTTTGTCATTATGTAAGTTAAACGGACGCAATGAAACCCCGTATTGTGTCAACAGCCAGATGTGTATTTGTCAGAAACTTGGTGGAAAACTAAATGACGTCGGCTTACAGCTGTTTGGCAGTGTGTATTGGTGCTTTGGCTCGCGGCAAAAGTTTATACGTGTACCCGCTCAGTCTAGATGAGTTAAAAATCTCCTTGGTACAACTGAACAAGTTGGCATTTCTAGGAAGTTGAGCGCCACAGATTTGTTTGTGAGGAGAGGATACAAGTTAGGATTGTTACGTATCATGTGGTTGTTTTACGTTATCTGTTTATTGTTTCAATTGGCAAACAAAATAATCTACCCATCGTAAAAGTCACAACAACGAAACGAAACAGTCAAATTGGGAAAAGAAACTATACACACTCATGCGCCCGTAAGGAATTGTTCGTTTCCACTTCAAAGACCAATATTTACCACAAAAATCAGACAACATTTTTCGTGTCGTCAGTGCAAACGACGGTATTTTGATCAAAGAACTAGACATAAAAGCAGGGACGGAACGGCAGAGACAAATTTGACACGAACTTTCACCAAGTGCAGGACGTGCTTTTGATCAGCGGTGCAGACAGCAGATAGTAAAGTGACTGTGTTGCCGCCGTAGTAGTAATAATCAACTTTGAGAATCAAGGACGGACCGGCTATTGCATATGAGTTGTCTTAGTCAGAAAACCGCAACGGGCCCTACAAAAAATATACATGTTGGTATCGCCATATCATTTTTCTAACTGTATATAGCAAAAGTGAAGGTTGGCTTGGGTGCATTGTTGTTTCCAGCCAAGCCAAGCCAGCAAACAAAAGAACGACGCAGTTTGGCGTGGCGTGTGCCATATTTAGGTTCACCAAGCGTCCTGACAATGAAACCACGCGCGTTTGGCTTGGATTTTTTTTCAAACCACGCCAAGCCATGTTCTAAAAAAGCAACAAGCCAATATGGTGCTGATATTAAACCATCAGACCTCTGCGAATACGAGAACTGATATAAAAAAAATCTTATTCTTTTTACAGTCATTCAGTCAGCTTTTCGTGTCCTCAGTTCAAGCGGCATCTTGATCAAAGAACTAGACATAAAAGCATAGACGGAACGACAGAGAAGTAAGACAAATTTGACACTAACTTTCACCAAGTACAGGACGTGCTTTTGATCAGCGGTGCAGACAGCAAGTGAATGCAAATAGTAAAGTGACTGTGTTGCCGCCGTAGTAGTAATAATCAACTTTGAGAATCAAGGACGGACCGGCTATGAGCTGTCTTAGTCAGAAAACCACTACGGGCCCTAAAAATATTTATGTCCGTACTACCATTTTATTTTTCTACCTGTATATAGTAAAAGTGAAGGTTGGCTTGGGTGCATTGTTGTTTCCAGCCAAGCCAAGCCAGCAAACAAAAGAACGACGCAGTTTGGCGTGGCGTGTGCCATATTTAGGTTCACCAAGCGTCCTGACAATGAAACCACGCGCGTTTGGCTTGGATTTCTTCAAACTACGCCAAGCGAAGTTCTAAAAAAAGAACATGTCAATATAGTACTGATATTAAACCAGTCGATGCATTTTAACGACACTAGATCTTTGCGAAAAAGAGAACTGGCGATAAAAATGATTCCTATTTTTTTCACAGCTAAGTTATGGTGTTATGTGTTATGTGTTTACGTTTTGTTCAACGGCATTTCTGATTTTTTTTGACCAAACGAAATTTCTTGGATTGGGTAACTATAGCACTATAGCAATGGGAGTTGAAAACGGAAAGGGGATTTTCATATACAAACAGCAATAAGTATACATAGACGTTCGATTAGAACGTTGCTTTACAGAACTGATGGTTAAGTTATCGGGCCTTCCTGTTTGCAGTCCACATTACATGTATTTTCTACGACCAGATTGCGAAAAAATTAATATTTGCTCACTTGTCCTTTCGCCCACTTTGTCGCGACAGAGTTTACCCATATCAATCGCCTTTCTAAACTGAAATTGAAATTAGCCCCGTTTCTGGTTTCATATCTTGTTGTCTCTGGGTTTAAAGGGATTGAAGGTAGATTTCGCTATAGATTTGCTGGCTGCCGGGCACCCAGAGGCAAAGAAA